TTTGCGGGTTTTTTATAGTACCGCAGGGCACACTTAATTACGCCACAATTATGCTTTCTCTCACATTATTCAAAAAACAGCTCTTATTGTTACAGCGAACTACCCATTATTATATTTCGCGAGATATACTTTCTTTTAATATTATTTAAATTTATACAAATTTCATAAATTAATATTAATGTATTGTTTTTGCCAAGAATTTTGTAGCACAGTTAAGAAATTAAAAGTAGTTTTTAACAATTAGTTTTTAACGTTAATTACTAAAATTAAAACCAACAATTTTTTCTGTATTAATCCCGCATATATATATACATATATATACATATAACTAATTATAAGAATAAGAAATATATGTACCATCATCGGAGAATTTAAGCTACAGTCATACCAAAACTTGAATAATAAAAGTTGCGGTAGCTCAAGATCCGTTAATAGCTCTTTTAATGGAAGCAATTTATCCTTTTTCTATCTTGTAATCTGTGTGACGAGAAGCAATGTTGTGGAACCAAAAAGTGGAACAGGAAGCAAAAGTCGGAGGTGTCTATTAAGAAGTCTGCTGAATATTAACGCGACGAAATGTTTTCTGACGCCGCGGCGCGGAGATTAACGAGGCGATTATTAAAATATGCAGTACGCCGGCCTAATTAGTCCGCCAATGAAACCAAGAAGTCATCTACTCTGCTTGTTATCTTCTTTAGTTTTACAAAGGTCGCGAACTTTAGCACGACGCAATTTCGCCGTATTACCTTTGCTCAATTTACGCGACAAGTCAAGCTAACTCGAGCGCTGTTTTATGACTGTTTTTCATAGATTTACCTTTATGATAATATTTTTTATATTAAAAGACTTAACGACAAGAATTTAAGACATCTTTTTGTATTCAGAACATAAAATTTCAGCGAGAATAAAACATTCCAAGAAATATAGGGAATTAAAAAATTTTATGAGGTGCCAGGATATAAAAGAGAATTCAACAAATCACAAGATTTATGTCCTAGATGTGTATTACAAAAAAAATTAGTACACTATAAAATTTTCTCAGTCATAAAGAGAGAGAGAGAGAGAGAGAGAGAGAGAGAGAGAGATTGATTGATTGATTGATTAAGCGTTTATTAAGCAGTTCTAGGGCGAGCCCTCTAAGAATTATGCGTATAGAAGTTATAGTAAATAGTATAATGAAGAAATTATAACAAACAATAATATCTAAGAGATAAGTGATGATTGGATTGTGATATTGCAACAGTAGAGATGAGGATGAAAATAAAATATACAAAAGAAAAATAAAAATAAAAATAAAAATAAACAATGATTAAATAAAAAAGATAAGCAGTGATTGAGAAGTAATAATACAACTGTAGAGATACAAATGAAAAGAAAAATACAAAAAAAGAAAAAAGATGCAGGCAGTAAAAATAATAAAGCAACAACTGAATGGTAAAATTTCGACAGTAGAAACGAAAATGAAAATGAAGAATACAAGGAAAGAAAGAAAGACTCGAGCAAAACAGTATTGAACGCGAATCAAGATGATGCCCTAGCGCCCCTCCCCCCCACGAGAGAGAGAGAGAGAGAGAGAGAGAGAGAGAGAGAGAGAGATGATTTGTTGCATTATATGCAATGTATGTAGTTGTTACGTATTTTATTATTCTATTTTATTATATAATATTATGAATCGATATAGCTTATTTATAAGTAATCTCTATTTTCCTTACAATATTTTACAACCATCTATCACAAAGAAAAAGCTGTTAGTTTTTTTTCACATCAACAACCTGTCGATAACATAAACGACAAAAACGACGTAACTGCTAATCTATTTCGCCTTGTAACACAGCGGTAATGCTACAATAATTTCGCGTTTTATGTACAATGCATAATAAAGTGCATAAAGGAAGAATAGCAACGAATTTTTGTTAACAACAGTGAGATTAATGCAGCGAGTTAAAAGAGTGAATGAGAAAAAGTGACTCGCGCGCGCGCGCGCGAAAGTGCGAAAAAAGCCACTCCCGGCTACTTTATGCGAAAGTGCACTTCATTTACCGCGACAATTAACGGAGCGTCGACGCGGGCACGCATGCACGCATAACACGCTCGTTATAACGAACGAGCCTCGTCAGAGAAATTCTGTCGTGCCGTAAGCAGAACAGACAGAATCGTTACCAAAATTTCACGTCGCGCCACGTCGCGCCGACGAGACGTACAACGAGATTCGCAGTTTACGCAATCGCTGGTGTAACCGTTGTAATTCAGCCTTACTGCATAGAACGCGATAAAGTAGACGCACATTTACGCGTGGTATCGTACACAACCTCCGGCGACAGACTTCCGTGATTCTCGTAAAACGCGATATCGCCGTTGTTGTGCCACGCGCATTATTCTCCGATGTGGCAGCTACTACTGTGCGAACATTATTAATCATTTTTGATCATCGCCCTGTCGTTGGAAAAATGCCATTTTGCAATTTTGCATTTTATGTCGACCCATCTCTCGGTAAGTTGCAAGACAACTTTCGAATGGGATCGCATCAGACCGAGAAGTGCGTGAGCCGGTGAAAGCGGCCGTCGTCATATGGGCGACACAAAGCACGATTTGTATCTTCATAATTCACGTTTGTTTGATCAAGGTTAAAAATGTTATACATGAACAAGAATGTTTGAAACTCAGTTCCTTCAATACTGCGACTGTGGGATTTTGTTGTTTCATATAATTTATTCAGTTATAAATTTATCAAAGTAGACAGCCTATCCTTTGTTTCCATGAATTATTCTTTTGCACATTTTTTTGTACATTTATTCATGGCATTTGCTAATATTGCAATAGCAAATTAGGAAAAATGCAGCGTTATGCACTATTACATATAGCGTATGTATTACATGTATACATTTACGACATTTATGTAAAAATATTTAAGTCTTTGAAAATTGCCGATTTTATATATTTCAACTATTGCTTCAAAATACTTCTGATTATAACTTATATATGTATATTGTATTGGTAATTAAGTGATAAGAATTAAATATTTATTTATATAGACAGATAGCCTTTTTTAACGCTACGATATTGCAACAATCTTGTTGTAATTATTTACAACATTTACGTGATTATACTTTCCCAGGAAAGGTAGCGCAATTACTCCCGCATGCATGGCAGCATAATCATCATACCACTGAAGATCAATAAATCATATTTCGTCCCAGTTGACTTTCGTTTTTATACTTCTATTCAAGCTACTATTCTAGCTACTTAAAAGTAACATTTAGTTTTAACATTTGACGATATGCGTGAAGACGTAAACGAGACAACCACACAATTATATGCGTATACGTATATGTGTAATCTTTTCCGCGTTGCGTAATTGCAAGTGCTGAAGTCCTTAGTCGCAATTGCTGCATTCTCCTAATATAGTTGGATAGTAAGAGAAACTGAATGCATTGCTGATTAAAAAGATGTTAACGGCAGTTGGAGAAAAGGCTTATGAAATTTCACTTTGCCATCTGTCCCTCTCTAACTGGACGTGAGTTAGATTGACGCGAATTAATTCAATTTACATTACGATGGAATGCTTAATATCATTTTTTGAAATGAATTTATTGTTCGAGTGACATGTAAATATTTAACTCTATAACTGCAGATTATGAAACTGTACGGAAATTTATATATTACTACATACACACACACAGAAACGCTTGTATTTTTATAAAATACATTTTTGTAAATATGTATATAAAGTTACAAATTTTATAATTAGAATTTACGTTTTTAACATGCTTTTTAAATGTAAAAATAATTTAAATAAAAAATAATTATGTTTTCTTGTTATTTTTAATATATTTTGAAAGTTTGATATTTTATTAAATAATATTAATTAATAATAAAAAATTATGTTATTTTATTATTAACTGTCTAATTTTATTATTAGTACTAATCATCTTTAGTAATATATTCGATTTGCATTATTAATTTATGATTTGTTAAATTTCTTTATATATATACTTTTTCTTTGTATAATTTTTTTGTATATCTTTCGAAGAGAAAGATATCTCGTCAATATACTTTGTTAGTAATGGAATATCTGTGAGAAAGATGAAGTATTTAGAGAAATTTTTCAAGTGGCTGTATTTTTTAAAGAAGAATACACTAATGATAAATCAAGATTATGAATAATTAATTTACAAATGCAAAAAGAACTCAGCAATTCATGACGCATCGGCTTTCTTTTCAGAAAGCCGATACGTCATGAATTGCTGAATCAAAGTCATGCATTGTGATGATTTTAACTTATAGATGAATAGATCAATGTTAGAAGTTATGTAAATATTAAGACAAGATATGTCATTTAATTTCCTTGATAACATGCATATTGCATAAGATATCTAAAAGACATCTTTTAAATTTTTAAGCTTTCAAAATTTTTCAAAATAATACATTATTATACATTTTTCAACAAATACATTTAATAATCACATTTACTTAATGTAAGATATCTAAAAGATGTCTTTTAGATATCTTATACAACATAAATGAGATAAGATGTCTTTTAGATATCTTACACAACATAAATGTGATTATTAAATGTATTTGTTGAAAAATGTATAATAATGTATTATTTTGAAAAATTTTGAAAGCTTAAAAATTTATATAGGAATGTATATATGTGTGAAGATATTATTAATTGATTATTATTGGAATTAAATTACTGTTATATCATGATATTTTTTAAACTAATTTTGAATTTGCGATTAGCTTTCCTAAGTCATTCGCCGTTAAATGAAACTGTTATTTATTTGATAGAAAGATGTATACATTTTCTTATAAATTTTCCTTTAAATCTTTATTTCGATCACATATCAGAGACTGATTTTTTTCTATATCGATGTACAAACTGACTGGATTGTTAGATAAAATTGCGAGAAAAAATTTGCACGTATTTTATTTCTTTTATCATCTATTCTACTTAAATATACGTATCGATATTAATAGCCTTTCCATTTTCTTTGCAGACGACTGTCCAAACTGCGTGGACGAACATAGTAACAGCTTGGCGGCTTCAAGATGGACGATGCCTTTATTGAAGCTGGGCGAGAAGAGATACTACTTGGGGATCTTCTTCAAGGTATCGCTCCTGCCAGTTACGCTGATTTATCTGACCGAACCGTCGACCCGACTCGGGTCTTGGACTTTATCAAATTATTTCCGAGCTCGTAACTTTCCGGCTTTGCTGTCACGGACGGTTTTACGGTGCATCGAATGCCGGGAACCAGGATAGTAATAAGGGTCTTTTCGGATAACAGTGACCCTGTGTTGGTTGCAGCAGAGAAGCTCGCGTGATGAAAGAAGTGAAACACATAGAAAAGAAACGAAACATTTGGCACGTAAAGGAAAATTGAAAGAGTTCCAAGCAAAAATGATTTCAAATTACAAACGCCAAACTTATTATTATAAATAATGTAAATCATGAGTATAAAATCGAAATTTTCTAGTTATACATATATCAGCATGTTTAAACAATAATAGTGACACTTTCTTATTAAAACATCTCATCTGGCATTTAACGCAAAGCTCTTTTTATTTTAATTATAAGTGTTAAATGATACCGATACAAGCTCAAAGAGAAAGAAATAATATATACGTATCCATTTCAATTAATTATTTATATATAAAATATAAGAATTATTTTCTACGATAAATTCATCAAAATAAAATTGTAGAATTCTTTTATGAAATTTGTGACAGTTTGATGTTAAAAGCGTGTTTTCTGTCTCGAGGATTTCGCAGGTAGTGCTGATCTCATGCGGGTCTTTCGAGAGCGTCATTCCTGGTTCTGACGTGTGTAAACGCGTGTCCGCATACGAACACAATCGTATCGATTAGAGACGCCCTTATTACGGCTTTCCCGGATAGCCTAGGCGCTTTTATTGACCCACGCGCTATTAACACGGATTTCGTAATTCCATCGCTCCGGTCGGAGCGACCTCGCTAGAGATGAATGGAAGTGACGTAAAGGCGTTCGTTTAATCGGACTTTTCGCAACAAAAGCGTGAAGAGGAAAGAAGTGGAAATTCTCTCCTTCTCTCTTGACCCTCTCTTTTAATCGAATCACCAAAGACGAGTCCTCTTTGTATTCGCAAGCAAATAATGGACGACGCTCCATTAATCGAGACCTTGCAAAACAACTTTGCTCATTGCCGGGCAATGACCGACTTTTCCACTGAATTTCGTGGTTCTCCTGATGACAGATTGTGTTTGTTTCTCTCTTCAATGAAGAACTTATTTAAGTTAGGAAAGGAGGCGGTTTTCGGGGTGAAAGTCAAGTTCTAGATTGCAAACATATCACTTGTTCTCTTGCTGCTCCAATTAATCTGTTTGACTTGTGGCGAGATAAGTGTTCTTTATGCATGTCTTGGTGGACCAAAGTGTATCGATCCTACTGCATTATAAACAGATCATTAGTTGATCCATTAATGGAATCTATTAAAGGGATTCCATATTTATTTGTAATTCTATATATTGATATCTCCACATAATTTTTAAATCCTAAAAGATTTTAAATGGTAAAAGATTTTACATTTAATAACGTCTTCTATTTTTATAACAGGGAATTAAAAATAAAGTTCATTGTGCAGTACTTATCATTAAAAGAAAAAAAAACGTAGTTAAAATCATAGAAGTACAGAAAATTAGATTAATTGTTCAAAAGTGGTTCTAATTTTTTTAAGTATATTAGTATTATTATATATAATACTTAAGTATTATTGACCCTACATGGTCAATAATACTGATCAGTAATATCGTATCAGTAATACTGACAGTATGCATCAATATTGTATTTCTACAACTTTACACGATCGATATTATTGACAATATATTTCACTTTAGGTTTACGTATATTATCTATTATACTGTGACATGAATCCTAGTAAAGCGATACTGATACTCGACAATCAAAATCTAGATCGTCATCAATATTCTACGTCACTCCATCAATATTAACAGCACACGATCAGTAATATTGTCAGTATTTGTTAATACTGACAGTATTATTGACCGTATAAGGTTATCTTTATTTAATAAACGCTGTGAACTTTATTTATGATTTATTTACTTTCAAGTATTTCGAAATGTTTCTGAGGTATATTTTAGCATTTAATTACACCTACTTCCCCTCATTTTTCTTAAACTTGAGCGTATTATCACATGAATATATATAATTTTGAGTGTGTTATTTACTATTTAACATTTTATTTGACTGTATATATTTTGAGTTATGCAAATTTAAACAATACCATGGCATTTTGCTAATGTGGCCCTCTATAGATATTGATTGCGACCGTTTTTTTGAGGTTTTCATATCAAAATAATTATTTGATAATTTATTGTAGCTGTACTGTTAATCTATAGCTTTTTTTATATTACGTGTACTATTTTTAGTACTGAGCTTATATGCAGAAGTTATAGTATGTGAATGTATATACATTCATTTGCATACATTTTAAAATATTTTACTTTTTTGTTAATTTTGTAACCAAATACTGTTTTCTAAACAAAATTAATATTTTAAGGCTGTTTTTATAAAAGGCTACATTACCATCCATTTTTTTCTTCGAGTCATTATGCAATGTCGCCACATTTTTATTAATAGTATTCTAAGTAATCAATATTTCGTAACTTTAAGTCCAGAATCGACTCAACATTTATTAATATTATTAATATTGATTATTAACGATGTTATTGTGTAAAATGTAACTGGGGTGTCATAATACCACCTTCTCCTCTATAATCACATATTACTTTTACAACAGTTTAATATCAGTCCCCAATTTTATTTGTTTCTTCTTGTCAGAAAAAGCAAATATGTTTAATATCAGTCCCCAATTTTACTTGTTTCTTCTTGTCAGAAAAAGCAAATATGTGCCCGTTTAGAGAAGACAAATGTTTCTACTTTTTAATTACTTTACCTTTAATCTTTATTTTCTTTCGTTACGCGGTATGTCCTGAAACAGTATTCGGAACCGAAAAGCCAATAGCGTGCCACTGATCGTCACGTACGATTGCTGTTTCGTTTAGGGAGGATAGACCGAGCTTAAGCGAAGCCATCGTGCACGAGTAACGACGGGTTCGTGCCGACGTTTCGTGGCGGCGCAGGAGAGCGTATACGCTGCGAGATTCGAGCGGAAAGGGAATGCAGCGGTAATGCAACTCCGTCGTGTCGGGCCGCTCCCGTGCAATCGCGACGGCGCTCTATTTATTGCGCTTTATTTGCATTCTCGGCAGGTTACACTCGATTTTTCGCGTCCTTCGCGTTCCACCTTGCCCCATCGTACACACCAGACGGATCGGCGAAAGAGCAACGAGAGAACAGCGACGAAATTCGGTACCGTTGACATTGACGGAGCGAAAGTCAATATTTATCATGCTCTTGAATACATTTTTTATAAACAGCTAAATGCATAAGTGAAAGATGTAAGTATACGATATATGCCATATGCAGATATTGGAACAATAAATAATAATAATAATAAAGTGGATTGCTAAAAAAAATTATTGCAAATAATGTTACAAGAATAAATACAGATAATAAAAAGTTTATAGCGAACACAAAAGTATTTTATAATTGTGATGATGAAATGAAAATTAAAAAATAAGTCTTATAAACATTAGGATTCTTTTTTTAAAAATGAATTTAAAAACATTTATTTCTAGAATTATTTTACAGTTTTTAATTTCTTAATTAGTCATTAAACACTAATTAAAATTATTAATTAAAATAAATTAATTAAAATTTAATTTATAGGTACTCATATATCAACTCCGAGTTTAGTACCTATTACATTAACATGGAGATCACTTTGCAGTTAAGACAAATAATTTACATAAGCATTAGCTTATACCAACGGTGTTAATTACCGGCGATGTTAATTTGAACAAACTTTAATTAGCGTAGCGTTTAAGATCCAAAAAGATTCATTAAGTTCTACGAAACAAGCAGAATATGCAAAATTCTCTCAAAGTTGCGATAATCACTTTTCTTAAACACTCTGTGTATGTAAAAACAATATTTATTCTCAGATTTGTATTAAATATTGTAATAAACTTTCTTTAACAATATTTATGAAATACATGTTTAAAAAATGCTTTAATGATACAAAATTCATTTTTATCCGATAAGTTTGAATTTATTATTGTAATATTATTATTGCGAAATTTTGTCTAACGTATAATGATGATAACTTGGCGAATTATCAAAATATACAAGACGCACCGAAAGTTGCACTCCATACATATATACTTTGCAGAAGTAAGCTGCTATATATACGTGTTTCATAATAGTCGTTCTCAAGAATTCCAAATGGATAATCCAGTCTCTCAATAAACGTGTATTATGCATCCTAATTATGCCGATAAAAAATTTTGAGAATCACGAATAGAATCTCATAGAAGCACTACGTTCTGTGACTTCCATTGCAGTTCGATTTCGTGATTACTTGTTATTGCAAAGAAGAATGCGTTATATTGTTATATTATATGTTGCATTATTAAGGATGCTGTAAATATGAAGATGGCACGTTTGCGATGTGTGATGGCCGAGAACCATCTTCGCACTTAAATGATCGCAGCAACTGGGCGCGAATGCGACGAAACATCGCGAGGGAATTCGTAACGATCGTAAAGAACTCGCAATGAAGTCAGAGGCGTTCGTGCTTCTGCAACGTACGGCGCGGGCGGTCATAAAAATCACATAATGCAGTGCGAATGACCGAATCGAAGTCACACAGCTGATACGTTGTGTAATATTGAAATGTCGAAGTACGAATTCATCGTACGTTCAACGTTCGTCAAGTTTCTTTCAAGCGCATAAAATATATTGCGATGTACAGGTTATATTAAACATATCTGTTAAACTTGTCTAAACATAAGATATACGTATATGTACATGATTGTTTTGGAAAACGATGGAAGATCAATTTTAAATTCAAGAGATTTAAAAAAGTTTGGAATATTCTTATCTGTTACTAAAAATTTTAATTTTTTATTGAGGAAGACTGATTTTTTTTCTCTTAACACACACAGTAGTATTTCTACTATAATCTAAAATAAAGTTCATATTAAAAACATTATTATTAGCATATCTTTTCCCTTACATTCAGAATTTTTAGTAAAATCTAATTTATTTTAAAAATTAACAAGCAAAGGTCTTTGCATTTAATAATTGAATTGTACAACAATACTAGTAGCTTTGATTATCCAGTGAGAAAAATTCATTCTATTTATTTCCATATTTTCATGCAATAATATAATTTGTATTATTGACACATTAAATAATTTCGTTAGTAATACGTTAGTAATATTCCAAACAGGTTCTCGAATATAATCTGCCGAAATTGATACCAGAATGATGATTATATAACTTTAATGTGAATATTAATGTGCCCCTACAATCTGTATGCTGTTAATTATTAATACCGACCAATCTGCTATAATCAATGATGATCACAAATGTTAAATATGAATGTTAATGACAGCTTATCCTTATCATAATATAATTACTCATAATTTACCAATAGTTCAAATGTTGCTCTTTTGTCATAATTATTGTGGTGTTTAATACATAATGATTTAGGTCATCGCTTTAGGTTAAATTTCTCTCTCACAGTATTCCTTTTTACATAATTGCCATTTATAGCGGATTAATCCATTATTTAGCATCATAAATGATTTAAAAATTATTTGTACACATAGTATATAATACTAGCCACTAGGTGCGTAGTAAATATTTTATCGTCAATATTTAAATGTACATTGATATTTGTAGCAAATATAATAACAATAAATTGTTACATTAATTTTTAATACATTTTATTTTGCATATACTTTATGTAAAATATCTTGTACAATTAATGGCGTTTTGCCAAAAAAAAAGAACGTTAGAGTAGAGTATTACCATCCCTTCTTTACACTGCAGGCAAACTGGTACAGAGCCTCGCAATACTGTCGTTATCACGGGATGCATCTGGCGAGTATAGCCTCGCAAGAGGAGAACGATAGACTTGAGAAGCATATCAAGGACTTCGGTCTCGGTCACGAGCATTTTTGGACTTCTGGCACCGACCAGGCTGAGGAGGGAACCTTTTTCTGGATGGCTAATGGTAGGCCGATCACGTTCGAGAATTGGAACGTCGGCGAACCAAATAATTTCCGGTAAGAGTGCTTTACGATCGCAAACAATTTACATTCTTTCTGATATTGATTGCGGAAATTTATACCATTGCGATACGATTGGCATAAATCAGTCATTGAGATATTAAAACTCATTTCCGGTGAAAGGTATTCTCATGGACTCTTTAATAGCAAAAGAAACTTAATTTTTGTGATTTCAATGATTTCAAAAGTAAGTTTAGTATTTTATGTTGCAATATTTTTAATATTTCTGTAATTATAATATATTTATGTAATATGAAATTATTTTGTACGTCCTTCGTCTTTGAGAAAACACAATTATAACACATACGATGATAAATTAAATGTGTAATTATGCGTGTGTTACTAAAATTTGTTATATTATATTATGTCATCGATACATTTTGTCATTTAAAAAGATATTAATAATTACTTCTTCAAAAAGAAAAGAATAAATAATAACAGAATATTTCAATCATTCTAGTTATATTTTCAAAATTATTAAAGCGCGCTATAGTGATTATGTCTTACATTACTTTATATACATTGCAAATTTCCAAAATTTTAAAAATAAGAAGATGCAATGTTGATTTTTTAAGGTTGATATTAAATATAATATCAAATACGTTATTAGATAACTTACTTCCTTATGCATTTTGTTGCTTAAAATAATCCGAATTTCATTTAGTCTTCTCATTTTCTTTCAGGTACGAAAACGGCGAAGAGGAACATTGCCTGGAGCTCTGGAACAGAGATGGCAAAGGACTCAAATGGAATGACAGTCCTTGCAGCTTCGAGACTTTCTTCGTCTGTGAAGTGCAGTGATCAATTTGCGAGAAAAGCTGGAAGGAGGAACTAAACGCACGAGAATATTCGTGTGCAAATATCAGTATATGGCGTGTCCTCAAGGTGATCCTCGAGGAAACTGCGTGTGACATTCTCATCGACCGTCCATTCGTTTCAGTGGACTTAGCAAGGTAGAGAGACTTGACGTGACATGTGCGCTCGGACTGAAAACGATGCGTGATTAGCCAGTCGCTACCGTTGTCACGTTTTACACGTCCAGATTCAGTGTGCGCGCAAAACGACACCCAATTCAGTCAGTTCTTTCGTAAAAGAATCACCAGGCGACATACCGAGCGTTGGATAAATCCGCAATGTCGGACGATAAAAACGATTTATTTGCTTTTTGTGCAGAGGCAGTTCTAGACAGAATGCTTGACATTAAATTATGCAATGTATTTAAGTTTTTTTACGTATTTAAAAAGTTTTGTTTTAAATTTAAACAATAATAGACAATTAACATTTCTATTCTTAAAAAGAGAAAGCATAAACTACAGAAATTTTTTACATATTTATATTTTAAGTAAATGCATATACGTTTTTTTTATATATAAATCTTTAGATGCGTAATCATCGATACATTTTATATATTTTTTATTGTTTATCTCTTTTTAAAAATCTAATTTTACCTCTGCTTATTAGAGATGATTTTATAAGTTACTACGTGAAATCTTACAAGACGACACGTGAAATCTTTATTTACGCACAATCGAAAAATCGATTGACTAATGTTTCTCTATATTACAGATATTGCTATTCATTTGTTAATTCAAAATGAAAAAATTATGAGAAAGACAATATTAATGTTCATATGACATTGTTATAAATTATTTTTATATTTGTATTAATTCTCATTAATATACAATTTCAGATTGTCGTAAAATGGCTTATTTATGCCATGCAATGATTGCCTTTCGATTCTTCGATTATGGCGAATTTGAAAATTTCTGACGCATGGTGATATCATATCATATCTTGAGTAATTCTCTAATAAAACACAGATTGTTGTAGGTATTATTATAGAAATTTAAACATTTTTAATTATTAAATAGCCAGTGCATGCACAATGAATTATTTTGACGCATGTATATCTTTATTATGCAAGTATATTTTTATTATTAAATCAAATTAGACAATTTTTTAGCGATTGAAGAAACGATTGAACTAATTTATCGATGTAACATACGAAATAGTTAACTAAGTCGAATGGATTAATGTTGACATTTACTAATTTCGAATGTATGCTACTTTACCACATACTTTAGTTTTTTATATCTTAATATATTATGCAAACACTGTACGTAATATGCATGTATATACATACATATATGTAAACTGTATATATTTACGCCGCACACTAGATAATGATTGCTACAAGTAATATTGCTAGTAGTATAAATTAACCAAAAGAGTCTCTCGTGATGCTATAATGTTCAGTCGTTTAGTTACTGACATTCCTGGGAAAAAATATTTTATATATAATTTAATATAATTTTATATAATTATATATAAAACATTTTTTTTCGTGTTTTCAAATGAGTCAATTTCGATAAAATACTTTACCAGCAGCGACCGTAACTGTTATTGATTCGATAATTTTATAAAAATAAGAGAGTAATGATAAGTTTTGGATGTATTCATTTATTCATTTTTGTAACCTTTCATATCATTTAAAATTCTCTATCATAGATAAAATGAAAAATCTTTAATTTGTATGTAGTAATAAATTTGTAAAAACTTAGATTCCTCAAATCGTAAATATCAATAAATTCGAGAGCTATCTTTATGTCTTTGAGATTTCATTTGTGATCTCTTTCAATTTTTGGATATTTAAAATAATGGTGTTCTTGTCATGTTCGTATTTTAAGCTTTTCGACATAATTTAAAAAAGAAATTTGAATTTCAAATCTAATAATTTAAAAAATTTGATATTTTACTCCTTACACTCTTTTTTAGCGTGATGCGCTTGAATCTCCAATTTTACTGTTATAATTGGCAACGATGCCTGAATGCGTTGTTGAATGAAAATATGGTTCGTTCAGCGTCATAACTGTCACGATCTGCGTTAATTGGGTCGCAGTATAAATGAGCATCGTGATAGATCTCGTTTGGACAATAGTTAGCCTTCATGGTAAATGAAACGAGGGTTCGTCGTTGTACTCTATGTATTCTATGTATTCGCCGTCAGAAATTATAAAGAACGGTGTTGTACATGGCATTATTTAGCGCTAAATAATAAAATCAAAACTATTCTTTGATTTTTTGATTTATTAAAACATACACATTTACTTCATTTCTGTATTTTTATATTAAATTTAATTCTTGAAATCTGGTACTGAATTGTGTAATCATGCATTTCGTTAATTAATTAATTCGTTTATCATATTTTCTGATAAATTCAATGTTAAATATATTACTGTTACATTTCTGGAACGGAAAGTATATAATTTACAATTCTTCATTATATTACTCGTTATATATATCAAATTAAAACGAATAATTATTTTAATTATTTTAATAATTAATGGGTACAATCTAATTGTTATACAAATTTTTCTAACTTATTCTATATTCAACTTTTGCATTCAAGTAATAATAATAATTCTTATTTTTTAGTTATAGAGATTTATTGAGTACATTTTATGGAAAATATTTAGTTGTCTTTTTTATTTTCCTTTAATCTCCTTTATAGAGAACGAAGATTTATTAGATTGTTTAAACAAAAATATCAAATATTAAAAGAAACATTTTTTACAATGCTAGGTATATATCTCTATCATGTCATATTACAAGTCAATAAATCAATTTAAAAAACTTTCAGAATTTATGCTGTAGTATGTATATGTTTACGATTAATCTCGGCTTGACTGCAAATAACTAAAAAAAAAGGAAATATTGTTAACACTTTTAATTAACTAACAAAAGAGAGAGAGAGAGAGAGAGAGAGAGAGACAGAGAGAGAGAGAATTGGAGTTGCTTTAATGGAAATTACAGATGATGTTCGCCTCGCAATCTTTTCAGTCGACACGAGTTGTGTTTCTGACAGAGTCCTACTGCCATTTAAGCACTCCACTTTCTTATCTGGATTGACAGAAGCAATTAGTAGTTCTGTCGATTTTTCGCCAAAGCTAGGAGATAACAGTATTCTTGAGAGAATGAGAACTATTCGAAGGGAGAAAAAATAGAAATGGTTGAAAGGGTCATTGAGTTTGGGAGATAGAAAAGAGGAAGGTTGATAATGAGATCGGTGTTGATACACAGAATAATGTTATATAAAACATTGTTTAAAACGAGTGAAATAGATGTCACTGTAAATTCGCACCTGCAACTTTTTATGGTAAAATTATAGTGCTAAGCATCATAATGCATTATATATATATATATTACAATTAATGTAATATTAATTAATTAATACCACCTAGACTGTTTATAAAAATTTATTATTCTACTTACAAAAGAATACGTAGCAGATAAGCCAAAATAAATTGAAGAGATAATTTATATCAGTAATAATGAATTTTTAACTTGGTTCATCGCAACTACTCAAAATGGATTTTCAATAACTTTCTTTTCTTTTCATTTTTTTTACGAGGAAGTTGAACACGTCTAATAACGTTCATATTGAAAGAAAAGATTGGCTG